GAATTTCGAGAGATTCCCCCTGACAATTTGCCAATTCTCAGTCTTACTCCCAAGAGTAGAGAGAGCCTGTAACAGCACAGATTTTTTCTATAGAAACACGGAGAAACAGACACAGAACAGAGACCTTTAACTCTTTAACTCCCATAAACGACCAAGACAGAGATTCTCTTCACAAAATCACCAGAGTAACAAGTAATGAGGATAGTGGAAAATGTCAAATACACGATTATCGGTTGATCAAAACCAGACTCTCCGGACAAACATCATGAGAATTGGTAGACACCAAGGAGAATAACTATCGAACTATCGAGATCTTGGAAGTGAAAGGGTTAAAGCAGTCGGTAAACAACACGTCACAACGAATACGATGTAGAAACACAAAGGGTTATAATATTCCACAGAAATGTTTACCTTTCCACCTTCAGTGGCTGCTAGATGTTGTGACTCAGGAGCAACTTCGACGACTCCGCTGTACTCAATGAAAGCTGTCTGACTGGCTCCAACCATGACCGTTGCGCCCCCTGGGACAGCACTTGGCGTTTTCGCAAAGGCCAAGAACACGGAATAAATTAGCTTTTTATCAGGGACAATCACTGGATAAACCTAGCAACAACCACAGGAAAATATTAATCAATGTGACAAAAGCTATAAATTCCTTCACTATGAAGAGCGCTCCTCATAAAGTGAATGATACAAACTAACTGATTGCAAATATGAGACAAAAACTCCAATTGCTATAAAAGACTTACTCTCTGACATATGAAACTCCAGTTGTGAAAAATTTTAAAATCAATTTAGGAATTTCTCAAGGGTAATGGATAAAATTTTATTTTGAAAGCAATCCCCATAACTAAAACAGAGCAACTAGTTGCAAAAAGATATAATATGAGATAAAATCATTTGGAACAAAACGATGTACAGTAAAAAAAAAATGTTGAAAGGCAAAGCCCAGAGAAAAATGAGAAAGAGAATATAAAATTAAGGTTGCTCTATCGTGTGCGAGAAAAACCGCTTGCACGACACACTCAAGTGCCCTTAAGAAAACTCACCTGAACGGAGAACGAATCCTCCTTTTTCGATCCAGTGAATGACAATAATTGGCTGGTTGGAAGCACTTTTCCCGCCACAAAACCATCAAAGGCTTTAAACGGAAATCCAGAACTGACATTGACTGCAGCACTTCCAAACAAACCGGTGCGTACCACTTTGATCGACGGTACACTGTTACCTACGGGGAAAGAGGAGTAAAGCATTATGATTCCTATTCACTAAAATATTAATGAAATACAGCAGAAACGCGAAACGAGAAAATCTAGAAGACCAAAATGTAACCTTGTGATCGATGCGTTAAAACAGAGCTTCGCTATCATAGGGACCGTTGCAGAAAGCGCTGGTTACATCGGGGTTGTATCAGGTGTTCCAAGAATCTTAGAAATATGTTCGTGGGCCATTAACTTAGTGCCCTATTCCGCACATTTCATATATCACAAGTCACGAATATCACAAGAAGACCAACGTCGCTGCTGTAAATTTACCTCGGTGGACTTTTCAATTAGGTGTTTTGCAATCTGTCTCATTCCTCTCAACCCTTAGACTCTACAGTCACCTTAGTGCTTCATTATTAAACAATGCTAATATTATGCAATTTCCTTGCAGCTGAATCGACTAAAAAACCTGTAACAAACCCTTTGAAGCCTACTTATAAAGGGATCCATTAGGTTCATCTGAGAAGCTATACTACAATTGCGCAAAACAAAGAAATGTTTGTTAACGGACCTGCATCCACAGTCAGTCTCAAAGATTCGTCAGCAAACTTGAACACAGCATTGGCTGCATTTTCTGGCACCACAACTGTCTCATTAATGTCACTTGGCAAGCTGCTTGATAGCTTAGGGGTGATTGAAGTGGCTGGAACTGAACAGACACAGACACATAACGTTAATTCATTTCTATGACAAATCTCACTTTTGGAGAGGCATCACAACGCAGGGCTACCAACTTACCCTGATTATCATTGTACCGAACTCCAGTCAGTGTAATAGTAAACGCGGAACCCAGCGCCAAGAAGGTTGTCAAGGCAACACTTGCCGAACCCTAATAGCCAAGAAAAATTAAAAAGTATTTACCGTTAAAATCACGGGTCACACGCGACGTAGGCCCCGAAAACTGAACACGAGCGTAACTGGTTAGAAGAGAGCTCTCTGAACCCCACGCCATTCCTAGCAATTTCAGGTTCAGTTCATGAAATTAGCTTAACCCTTTGCGTTCTGCGATTGGTCATTTCCTGTGATCCTTCAGCACACAGTAGTACACTGCTGACAACATTTCATTTATTCTTTTTTTAATTATTATAATTTTTTCATGATAGTTCACCATCTTGAAATGTTTACGATACTTTCACAAATATCGAAAAAAAATAAGATGACAAAAAAAAAAGTTTAAGCAAACCTAGAAAATTGAAACCCAAAATTGAGACGAGAAAGGTCCCTGGCAATTTCAAAACACTTTGACACACGAGCACAACGAAGCCAAAATCAAGTTCATTAAGTTCATTGTAAGACAGTTAGATTCCATTTTCTCTTGGGTCATTTGACAACAATGATCACAAAAGACGTCAAAACGTGCTAGGAATACCAGTGAAGCACTTGCCATTCTTGGGAACAGACTCGCGAAAAAAAGAAATTCTATTGATTTCTGCTCGTTACCTGGCTCTGCTTATCGGGAACCGTCACACTTCCTTGTACGTCCGAAGGGTAGCCATCAGAGTGCCGCACCTCGTATTGTACATCAACAGCACCAAACGTCCCCTTCTCGCGCATCACAGAAAACTGCAACTCCCGACTGTTTCCGGAGACTTGAATCTTTTGCGCACCTGGTTGAAGCTTGAAAATTCCATGAGGATCATCGTTTGGCCTAGAATGACAATAATCACAAGAACACTATATTTAACAGAATCAAAGTGCCATACATTACTATAACACAATGCCAGTGATCCAGACAAAAACAACAAAAGAGTTTCAAAAATAAAAAAAGACGAAACAATGCCCACTAACCTTATCTTGAATGTGACATTGCTGGCTGACGAGCTAAGATCTGCGCCTCCATCTACAGACAGTATCGATAGTGTATAAACAGCTTCCAGCTCAGGAACGTCATCTGCTTTGATTTCAACAAAAATGTTCTTCAAGAAAACCCCAGAATTGAAGGTCACTGTACCAGAAGTGCTTGATAAGTCACGTGACCGCGGAGAACCTATTGGACTGGTTACCTGCCACAAGACCTGTTGAAAAGGATTGTGCTTGAGCGAGTGTGCTGAGTGTTAGATTACTTTAAAAGCACATACCAAGAAAACAAAACCACGATTCCACACTTTGTTTGGTCTAAAAGTTGCTTAATCCTGCATAATTACCCGCATAATCGACTTACCTTTGACAATTAAGCCTCAAATTTATAAACGATTGAAATTTTTTCCCGAAACCTGCTGGTGGCTCTGAAAGTAGTATAAAACGTTAACTGCCAATGTTTTAGCTTTCCCTTGCGTCTCTCTACAATTGGTTTGGAAAACTCGCACAACTCCCTCGAAAATCAAACGCACAAACTAAAACCAAGGTCATTTGGGTTTTCCAGCACTTAAAGCTGTTATCTTGTTCTTTGTTTGGGCTCCCAGTAACTCCAATTTTCCTTGTTTGCGTTACTTTAAGTTGTTGTTGCAAGAAATTCGCTCCAAATGGAATTAAAGGCCACCCACATACGGTTTGAAGAAACCAATCCTGTAAGCATAATTTTTCTTCCAGATAAATGAACATTAACACCTTGAAATGCCAGCGATTTATGGTCAAGCTGGAAACACAAGCAATTCCGAATAATTCTCGACTACCCATCGACAATGGCTCTAAACTTTACATATAATACTCACATTAACTGTTCCTTGAGTGCCGTTCGTTCTCTCGACTGTAAATTGATGAGTTTCAACTCCACTCGTTGGCTCATCGAAAGTCCGAGTAGCAGTGCTCTGAAATGCGAACACTCCATTCGGGAAACCATGTTTGGCAATGATAATGGTGATGTTTGATGTCAAGCCGTCAATTGTTCCATTACCAGACACTTTGTAGATTGATAAAATGAACCGCTCCTCAGGTTCGTCAAAACCTGAGACATTAACAAAACATAACATCAGCGAAACGAAAGGTGTAATTTTCATCAAAAGTGCTAGCTTTTCTAGTCTTTCTTGGGAAATACTCTAACATACGACGCTTGTTAAGATCCTTGACTGAAGTCTCGAAAATTTCTCAATATCTATCCGTACAAAACCTGAAAGAGTGAAGGGCCTTATATGTATAAGTAAGGCTATTCAAAAGACTATTAAGCTAACCAAGAACCTTTACCGTGACTAAAATCCTAGATCACACGTGAAGATCAGTTTGACACTTGTACCTCATTCAAAGGTTAAGAACACAATGTTTTTTCGATCAAATTCCTTCTCGGAATTTAAAATAAAAAGAAAGAAAAAGGGCCTTTTTATGCCTCCGAGCTCAGAATTTTTATACCTTCGAGCTCGGTGACTCAGTTCGTATAACACTCAACCCATAAACCATTAGTCTGCAGAACGGAAATCGAGGAAAGATATGAAAAGCTATATCGTTGATTCCGTTCCTGCCTTTAGAAAAATCGGTTCCTTTCCTATATTTAAATACTGGTATTTTATGTAACTGTAATCTCACCCAAGTAAGGTCTCACACGAAGTTTGACAGTCCGCACAGCTCCTACAGCATTGTCAGGAAACACGCTGGATCCATCGGTAGGCCCTTCAAAGTCGTCGCGTACTGAACAAGAAACGCACGCGGGGTGGATTCTAATCACCTTCCAGCTCACCTAGAGCATAAAAAAAATTAACTCGAGTTTACCTTTAATGAAAGGTTTGGTTCTTGATGTAGTGAAGTAGTGATTGTAGTCATTTCCGATTTCGATTATTCTCAAAGCTGAGCATGAAGGTTCAAAATGTTAGACATATCCAGTGGACCTTACGACCTGAAGAAGACTCGCAGTATGCAATTCAAAACTTTGCAATCCACATCGTAACACAAACGACTACACTGCGATACAAGTATTTTCACCAAGATGAATAAGCAAAACCTGTTTTTTAAGAAAACAATTTGAGTTTAGTTTTGATTTGGTCATCTCCGAGAATAATCTTCCCTTCGAAAGACTATCTATATGGAATTTAGACGGAATAAAAAAAACTCAAGTGAGAGGCCAGGATCCTTCTCCTCTTTCCCCCATTTTCTCTTGGTTAGATTCAAAACCAAAATTCCTACAGATAGCCACCGACTATTTGGACGGTAATTATTTAGAAAGGTTAGCTTTCCGATCATGGATTCACTCACCTCCACCTCTCCCTCGGCTCCACCTTCTCGCTGAATAACAAAATTCAGATCTTTGGACTTGCTCGGATTAACAAGTGAAAGCTCAGAACTATTTACAAAGCCGAACAGTCCGCCAGGGTCGTCACTAGTTTCTATGGTAACAGTCACAGTCGTCGGCGATTCTAACTTGGCGCCATTCGTCACGGAGTCTAGCGTGACAGTGAAGTAGTCGCGCTGCTCTGGGACAGCATCGTCGATGATTGTTACGTTTATGAATGCCGATGTTTGCCCGTCAGAGAGTCGAGCAATGCCTCCTTCTTCCTTGAAATCCTCACCGAGGAAGGCAGTTCCGTTCCTGATTGAAAATGAGACTTCTACAGCTCCGAGGCTACCACCTTCATGAGAGAAAAATTAAAAACGTAAGTCGACCAAATTACTCTGCTAAAGTTCGATTTTAATTTAAATTCAAACATGAAAACAGTCCTCTATCGTAATTTACCTTCTCTAACGACTTCCAATACCGCAGTTCCACTCTTTTCCCGCACCAGTTGAGAACTCTGTGTGAAGCGTATTTTTCCACGAGCGTCGTCATTCTCAGCAATAACAATCATGACCTTGTCTTTAGCTGGGCTGATCCTCGGTGCTGTGTTTAAAGGCAATCCATCGACAGAGCTGTAATTCTTGGGCGATCCAGAAACAAGTTTTACACTAAGCAGCTCAACTGTTACAGTTTCGGCGAGTTCAGGTTTATTGTCCTTCTTGATGTGAACGTGAATAGTCTTTTGGTCTTCTTTATCAGCGAACTTGAGCACTGAAAAAAAGGTTTTAACTTAAAACTCAGAAAATATACAAACAATTTAAAAACCCCCTCTCTTAAGAATTATAGCTCGGGAATACTTGATTGACCTAACAGGAGTAAAGAATCAATTAGAGAAAAACGACATTTCGACTGGACCGAATTATCGGTTTTCAATCAGCGCATACATTCTTCAGAGGGAAATAGAGACGGCTCGTCTTGCACAAGACAAGTCTGCAGCATTCAAAAGCTACTGGGTAATGTTAGTCAAACGTTTGCTGCATTGTCTTATCAAATGGGAGGTTTCGTGTCAACTGTTATCAAAAAAGTAAACGTTGAACTGTTTCCACGAACATATGAGTTCATGCTTTTCGTCAATTCCACCACCATGAGCAAAACCAACAACGATATTTTCACATACCATTTCCAAACGAGTCATAATCACTTCCTTTGGTGGCAGTGGTCGACGAGACGCTATAGTTCACTGACAACTCGCCAATGCTACCGCCATTTCTTACGACAGTAAGATTGACAAAGCCAACATCTTCGCTGACATTTCGCATTGAAGCCGACTGAAACTCGATGATTCCATATGGATCGTCGCTAGCAACCACAGTAATCTGTGCCCTGCGCGCACTCTGCGAAGGATCGAGGCTTGTCTGTGCAGAGCCAGTCAGGGCAAAATTATACACGGCTAGCTCTTCTGGCGTGGAATCGTCCTTTACCTATTTAAGTGGATACCATCAATGAAATCATATTTCATGCATCTTCGATGAAGGTTATTAGATCGTGCAAATACTTCACGGGTATGTGTTCAATCGAGCTGTTTACACTCTCCATTTGTATGTTTAAGTGTGACAACTTTCTGGTCTTATCTTTGTATTTACGTTTGTCCTTTACTTGGCTGTACACAAGCTTACAATTAGGTAAAGAAGAAACTAAAATAAGAAACATTTCTAGTTTCAAAACCAGAAAAAACGTAGTTATCAAATCGAATTCATCTACTTGTGTGTCGCAAACTTCCGGTATAACTTCTTAATAAGGAAACCCTTCCTTGTTTTCTAACTTAAAAGTAGTTATGATAAAAGTGTAATGAAGTTTATTTTATTATCGACAAACTCTATTCAGACCAACATTAACTAGTTGATACAATACGGAAGGTCGTTTCTCGCGTTCGTTTGCAGAAAAAAATTAGCAGATGAATATGGGGGATGCATGAGATTTTCTTGGTTTGCTCACCATGATAGGAAGCATGACCATTGTCACGCCATCTGGCATTTCAACAGTACCGGACGTCACGTTAAAAGTACTAGCAGGACTAGGAGCGTCACCAGGCGAATTAGCAGTGATCGACCACGTGACCTGAGCTTTGCCAGACTGACCAATTCGACGGAGCAACCTAAACGATAAACGTAACAGAGCATGTTAGAAAATGCAAAGAGTAAATAAAACACAACCTTTGTTACAATCACATAAGGCAGCTCATCAAATTGGACCAGCTATCAATGCTTTAACCCCACGGAGTGACCAACAACTTATTTCTCCTTACAGCATCATCTCTGAAACAACCATTAAGGTCACGTGAATATAGGCACGGATCGCCAACTAAAGAAGCTCTTGATGGTTTATCAAGTCTTCCAAGTCAGCACGATGGAAAATGTTCGGAATAGTATAGAGAATATGCATATTGATGTTAAGTTATAAAGGGTTCACCTTTAAACTCAGTCCTTACCATGGTACACACCTTAAAATCGGTTAGAAAGGGGTATTTAGAGATAAAAGAGGATGTTAGCGTCAAGCGTACTAACCGTACTACAAACACTCCATCATGACCCAGCATTGGTTCTCCTGCTATTACAAATCTTGTTGACGAGTCAATCGACACAATTCCTTCCACTTCGTCGTTCGCTGGGATATGAACTCTGGCTTGACTCAGAGTTGAGTCCAGTTTACCGCCATTATCGACGCTGACTAATTCACAAGTGAACGTCTGACCCACCTCTGCTATCATATCATCACGTGCACGGAGCGTGATGAACTGAGATGTGACTCCCTGGAAACATTGACATAATCATGGCGTTACTACTTGTCTGTTTGTTTGTTTCGTTCCTGTTCCTTGCATTGTTTTGTATGATTAGATTTTTTTGGTCACCATAAAAAAAATGTTATCTGAAACGAGTAATTATCCCGTAGGATTGTGCTGATGAACTGTTACTGAAAACTTATTCCTTTTAGGGTCGACTTCTTTTATAAATCACAGACATAATCGTTTTTATTTATGTGTAAAACTTATATCAACTTAACACATGCGGAAAAAACAAACAAACCAACCAAAAAAACTCATGTCAACGATAAATAGGAGGTTGGTAAGGCCCGTAGGGCTACAGGCCAAACAATAGTGAAAATCTTTCGTTTAAAAAATATCTATACATGCAGATCAAGAGTTACGAAAACAGCGGAAAGAGATAAAAAGATAATCATGAGATTACTGAAGATCAACTCAAGTTCTAATAAGAGTCATTGGAATTGTCGGCAAATATCCACCTGTTTAAAAGTAAGTGAGCCATTCATTGGAGAGATCTGCGTGCTCGCATTGACAATTCCGGCGTTAGGCGTGAGTCTCCAGGTGACCTGCACGTCTCCAAAAGCACCAGCTTCCCTGTTAACTGCAAGCTGCAAAGTGGATCCTTCCTGTACAATGTTGATGTTTTCGGATGTTGCTTTTGTGAAGCTGAATATCAAAGATGGGTTTTTAATACGTAACATTAGTACTAACTTTTCTAAAAGTTTATTTATTCGGTAAAGACCAAATTAACGAAGAACGAAGCTTTTTGTTAGGGCCATAAAAGAATAAATGAAAATGATCTAAGAGAGAGAAAGCATCTTTCATAATCTTTATAAAAGATCTTCTGGTTAAAACCGCTGTCGTAGCTACGCCTGCGTCTTTCCGCTTGAAAATACCGAGCAGATAAAATTTCTCTAAATTAATTCCCCTGCAAAGAAAGGTACTCAATGTAACTATGATCAATGCTTCCTCTCGTCAAATTAATACTCAGCGTACCCAAAAAGTCCATATGGATCATCGTTGGGCTTGATAATGACATCCACCTTGCTGACTCCACCAATCAGGACACCTCCTTTTGGACGACTAATCTGAACGAAGAAACCCTCTTCAATCTCAGGAACATTATCATCGGTGATATTTATTCTTAAAATGGCACGTGTTTCTCCTGAAGCAAGCATGACAGTTCCCTCGCTTGGAGAGAAATCCGCACTATCGGCAGCAGTGTATAAGCTTGAGCTGAAAGGACGAGCGATGAAACGGAAGCCTACAATCCCTGAAGAACTTCCTGTTCTCTGTACTGTGATGTTTAACATCTCCACTCCCTCTTCTAACTGGATGGCCTTTGTAGCAGGGTCAAGCAGAGCACTGAGGTCAAAGTTGAGTTCCCCTACTGTTCGGTTGGGTTGGGCAATCACGACTTCCAGTAAACGAGAGTTCAGATCAATACGAGGAGAATTCATAACCAAAACACTTTGCTTCAGTGTTACAGCGGTAATGTTCACATGGAAGATGCTGTTTAACATTGTGTCGTTGTACTAAAAGACAAAACAAAACACGCCACATAACTGTAACAAGGAATGTATTCTTCCTAATGCTCTCATAAAAAATCGTTGTGTCGTCGCACAATTCGATATTGTTGATCGCAACGGAAAAAACGTGTTGAAGCAGTTTATCGCAACGCACTTTCAAAGCGAATTTCCGCTAAATGTGTAGCGAGCTTAAACTAACCACCCTTTAAGCAACTTACAAAGCTTCCTTAACTTACATGCGCTATATCCAGAGTTATTTGCGTGGAGTTTCGTCCAGCTGGAATTTCCACAGTATGGCTCATTGCTTTGAAATCAACACCAGCTAAAGCCACTCGATCGTCACTATATTCCACACTGGGAAGCTGAACAGTTTCGTACGACACCAAAATATCTCCTATATCGCCAAACCATCGCATGATGTCGACAGATAAGGTAATGTTCTTGGGACCGTCTTCTTGAGAAATGAGAAGAGCGTTTTTCCACCCGATCACACCGTATGGGTCATCATTAGCAGGGATGACCAACATGGCGACTACTCGAGCAGAGTTCAGAACTGCACCACGGTTTGCATCTAATGACCCTGTTTCTGTGAGGCGGAGGAGTCTAAAAGAGTAAACAGGAGATGTCAAGATCAGAGATCAATAGGAAATAAACTAGTCCGGGTTAAAAAACAAACAAACAAACAAACAATAACTAAATAAAAATCAAATTTAAAAAAAAAAAAACCCAAGTAGAGGAAAAAACAGATATGCAATTAGGTATTGAAAGCCAGAAGTGAAGGTTTTCAACCAACTGATCTGGTATCAACTACGTTTTGTTCCTTCACAAAAAGTTTAAATTTCAAAGATGACGAGGCTGGCCAGCCCCGCTACCACGTTCCAGATTCCGGTAACCGGGACGAAAAAAGCAGGTAGGTAGCCGGGATATTTGAAGAGACGACAGCATTCTCCCGCTTAACAGCTTCATAGGAGGAGGCCCTTACCTGACATAAGCAACTTCCAAAAGCTCTGGTACCGCGTCCTTGTGGACAGTTATTGATATATTTTGACTGGCTTGGCCATCTTCAAACACAAGCTCTCCAGACAAAGGACTCAGATCTCCGTCACTGAAATTCCCGGAAACATTCCACTGTGCCACAACACGCCCAAGGCTTCCATACTCTCTGATCACTTCAAAAGTAACCACGGAATCATAACCTGTTTCTGGTTGAACTTTATTGAGCGAGTCGGCAGCAAAGCCTATTCGCCCAAATGCACCGTCATTGGATAAAATGTTGATGGTTAAATCTTGCTTCTGACTGTTGACAATCGCTTTTCCCGACGCATTGTAAATGCGGACGGTGAAGGCTTCGTCCCTCTCAGGGGTGGCATCAGGTAGAATAGTGAAATCGAGCTCCAGTTGTCTTTGTCCATTTTCAAAAATAAGCTGTCCTTGTCTGGTTAAATGAAAGGGGAAAAACCAGTGGTGAATGAAGTAAAACGCCTAATTGAAACCTTTGAATATATATAAATAAATAAATAAAAAAAAAACCAGAGCCGCACAGTTTTTTACAGTGTAGAATCTAGTTGAAATAATAATGTAGATGCGATTCCGTCGCACGAACCTAAAAGCCTCAAAAACATTTAACTATTTCAGAATGCCATGTAGATTGAGTTGAACATATACCTTGGGAAGAACTACAGATTCCGATCATAATAACAGAAACAACATGAATTAAATTTGAATTGTTGATAAGATGACAAAAGACGAATTGATCCTCGGAAATTCCTTTAAGTTTTAGGTGATTTTTTTTCATTTAACTTCTATTCTCTCTGAGATCGTCGACCACAGCAACAAATAAAAAGCAACGAGGGGTTTCACAAACGTAAACGCGAGGAGGCCGAGTGGATAAAGAAAAAACAAACGAAATTACGAATAAGGAAATGTCTTCATCATTTTTTCTCCACTCCGCCATCGTTCGCGTGCGTTTGCTTCTCGCTCCCTCGCTCTTGCCTTATTATAAAAAAAACGCCGTTTCATATGACAGACAGAGAAACTTTCGTGGTGGAATAATACCTTGGAATGAAGTCAGCTTGTGGAGATAATCTTTCAGGGTGGAGAAGAGGAGACAATCCATTCCCAGACACTGCCACAGCGTACATAGGTATATCTCCAGCCACTGGATCATTCATGACCATAGGGGTGGCACTCTGAGCATGCGCAAGGGTAGTGTTCTGAAAAACAAAACATTAGTTAACATTAAATAATTAAACGTTGCAGTTTGACAGACGCAGCGTATTAAAGACACTGAAAGCTGAAAATGAAACTCTTGAATTGTAAACTGGAAGATATGCGCGATGCTCACTGAGTTTTATTAAAATTCGAAAAAGGTACCATGGCCGAGACAAAACGATGCGTCCTGCCGGCCGTTTTCACTAGTATTTGACATTTCCTCTAAAGTTTCTTGAATTTTACGAAACATGTTCTGCCCAATTTGTGACTTTCAAAAACAGACGACTTCCTTCGAGAAGAAAGAACTTTCGGAGTAAACAGTAAATTCATCAATCAAATACTGACCATCTGAAAAGTGAACTTGGACGAATCATTCCACAGGTAGACGTTCAACACCTCACCAGTCTCAACTGTGACAAGATAGGCTGAAAACGAAAGAGCAATATTTCAGAAATCCTCAAGAGGAACAGTAAAGGTAGCAACAACCGGAAAAAGAAACAATAAAATGGCATCCTTGGATGATGCAAATAGTAAGTCTCTCACCATTTCCTTGCATTAAGTAGGGTTTGGCCGACTGAACACCTGACGCGGGAAGCGCCTGCTCGCTTATGAACCTGTTACCATTCCAGCGGTACACGTCGACGGACGCTCTGGAATTAGCAAACACCAAGTAATGCTGTCCTTTGTGTTCAAAATACTCAACTCCAACGGGACCGTTGGTGTCGATTTCTTGCAGCAAGACAGCCGAGTTTGAGTTCGTGTTCCATTCATAAATGGGAGATCTAGTTTGGAAACTTTGGGATTTTGAGGTGTCGTTGAAGAAAGCTATGGCGACTTTAAGAGTTCCATCAATTTCAAACACCGCCAGGCCAGAAGCACTGCGGGTGTTGTCGAGGTTGGCCTCATGAAGAACAAACGATCCATTTTGCCATTTATATACCTGAGTAAGGAAAAACCATCCTCGGTGGTTAGAAAATTTTGCTATTCGTCGCTCTTGCCTCTCCAAACCCACGTCCAAAGTTAACACACAACAAAATGTCACAGAAGGTTGCATTCTGGTAAAAACTAATATTAAAAGGGAAATAGGGATGCCAAGACAAATTTTGAAGATGTTGAGCTAAAATTTTCACAAATAATTTGTTCGCGATTGCAGTGATTTTACCTGTGAGCTAATACGAGACTGTCCAGCGTTATTCATCTGGTTTGCAACGATCAGATAGATGTCTGTTCCACCCGGTGGACGGAAGAACTTCACGTCTGATGCTCCCTGAGTAGAGATGTCCTGGATAATAGTCAGCTTTGCAGTGCTGTCCATGGAGTAAATTCTAGAGTGAGTCTCGTACCGTCCCTTGCTCCCGTGATTGGCGACTGCTAGGTAAACTTTGTCTCCAACCAACAGAGAGTCCCAGGCCACAGCACCATCAGTAGCAATGCTCTAAAAAATAACATATGAAGAAAACTTTTTCACTGATTTGAACTTCTTTTGAACAAAGGATGGCCTTTCAGCTGAACTTGCCAACCATGATTTTCATAAACTCCAAAACATAAATTATGTCTCAAATACACCAACTTTACTTTTCTCTTTCAAATCGTGGTAATAAAATTAACTTGGAACAAACGCTCGAACAAAGAGGCGAAAAGGCTGACCATTACAGTAACGGAGAGATTTCTACGATCTTTCTACATTCAAACTTTTTTTTTAAACTCTAGCTTAGGAGGGAGCACTCATGAAAGATGAAGTGAAATATCGTTATTTTTTTAATTGTAGTTATTGAAGCTCTTAACGGGAACGTAACGAGACTGAACTTACCAGCACAGGAACAAGAACGCCTTGCCAACGGAACAAAGCCGAACCAAAGTATTCGCCCATACCGATATTATCAACCGCAGGTGGTAAGGATCCAGTTCTGTTGATACTGGCAAGCAAAGCATACACGTCGCCAAAGGCGGAAAATACGTGCCAACTGTATGCACCGACGGTCTTTAACTGCTGTACTTTTTCGAAGTGGATCACATCCCCAGGTAATGAACTAGCCGAGTGTGACACTGTCATGTAGTCTAAGGTAATTCTACCGAAGTCACCCTTGCTGCGGATGATCTTCGCCTTCACTATATTTTGATCTTCTTCTATGTCGACGCTACTGCTCATCGAAGCACCAGACACTATCTCAAGTTCTCCATAGGGTGAGTCATTCTCTGTAATGGTGAGCAGCGCTTCAGATGGATGCACCAGCCTTCCATTTCCTATTTGGTATAGGAAAAAAATATTTAAAAAAATGAGTTTTTTTTAAAGTGCTGTACAAACATCACTAACTTCACTGGTACTTTTCTATTTGCCCGGCACTTTGATTGGCAGTTTTTCAAAAGGCGCGTAACGCAAACGAATGTCTGAGAGAAACGTCTTGAGCCATCTTTTAGTTGGTTTGCCAGGATCGGTCAGGATATGTCTATGACATGTCAGAGAAAGGATATACTGAGGAATTTTTGGGTTAGGATAAGTTTATGCAATGCTTATGGTATGCATGAACACCACTTGCTCTCAGTATGTCAATGAAATCAAACCATTGACAACAACAGCCGGAAGACTTCAGTATTTAAACATAATTGCACATTTCCATTCTTCAGATACATAACCAACTCACCCGGCAGAGTCAGCTTCACAACAAAAGTTTCCTCCTTTTCTGGTACAGAATCAAGCAACGCCTTGACTTTAAACGTTTTACGCGTATCTCCAGCATTAAAGGTGACATTTCCTCTCACTGCAGACAAATCTGATGATGCAGACACATTGAGGATTTCCCAAGAAACAATCACAGTTCCGAAGGTGTTGCCACTACGATCAATTTCAAATTCAGCTTCGGTAACAGGCCCTGTGCCAGGTTCAGAGATCGTAAGCGACGACGACGCGAGGCTAAACAATCCATACGCATCATCATTTGCTATAATAACAACATCAAGTATAGAAGGATTTCCAATTTTTGTGTCGCCTGTGTTTCGAGTCAGGCCTATTTTAAGAGTTTCTTCCCCTTCAGATTTAGTATCATCAGCCACGTAAATTGTGATGTTCTGTTCACTAACTCCATTGGGAAAAACTAAGGTGACCTCCGGGCCACTCCAACCTGTTATATTGAAGTCATTCAAACTAGCGGATATCGTTTGCACAAAATAGTTCACTTGAACTTCACCAAAAGTCCCTTTGTCACGCAGCACAGTGAGGCTGTAGGGGTTGCGTGACTCTGTGACGTAAACTCTGCAATATGAACATATTAAACCAATAAGTATATTTAAAAAAAGAACAACGGTCAAAAGCTCAATCCTTACAGTCACTCTGTTACCTTTCGTTGGGAAATCTAAACACGCCATGCGGATCATCGTTAGGTAATAGACTGATCTCAGAAACATGATGATGTCCCAGACTTGGTGGAATGGTGTTGTTCCACAGCGACGGGTTCACCAACTCAACTTCTGTGATGTTTACCAAAAACACTTCGCCAAGCTCTGGGATCTCATCATCCTTGACCCATACAGGAATGGAGCCAACATCTTCACCGTCGCCGATAACAATACTTCTTCTCCCAGAAACAAAGTCCTCTCCGGATAACGCTAAACGCTGGTCCGACTGTAGTACTGTGATGTTTCCCTGCACTTCTTCATAATAAACTCTTACATCACCTGAGGGAAAAGTAGCACAAGACAAATCAAAATGTTTAACATTCCCAAGTCCACCAAACCCACTCGGTGTTAGGATGGAGCTGTGTAAACACTAGCAAATTCCTCATGGGTTATTGTAAACAGGGCTGAGGAGTAAATGGCATCCACAGATTTCCTACTTACCAATATCCCCGAACAGCCTGGATATTGTCAATGTGAAGTTCCGTTCGTCCGATCGAGATACAAACCGTGAACCCGCTTCAAGTTCGATAACGCCATGGGGTCTGTTACTAGCACTTATGCTAATTGTTGCAGTTGTTTTCCCAGGAATAAGACTGGCTTTGCCGGTGGAAGCGATACCAAAGGTCTGAATATTGCTGAGCTGAACCACAAACACCTCGTTTGTTTCTGGGGTGCTGTCATTGCGGACTGTTAGGTCTATTGTTTTCTGCTTTTCACCCTACAAATAAACATCAAAACACCACATTAAAACGCTTCGTCAATGGTAATACAGGGTAGGTGTCGTAAAGAAAGCAATCTCCTCAACTGCCAGGAGGGCCCCATGGCAATACAGCCACGGGCCTTCTCTAGGCACCAGCTAACACAACACTAACAAATCGAGGTGTAAAATGGATACTTCTCCAACAGCAGGGGGGGAGGGGAGGAGAGGGGAGGGGAGGGAAGTTGGAGAGAAACGAACCAAGCGAATTAAGCAAACCTAGAAAAAAGCAAGTAACAAGGTTCGTTCAAACCACACTCGGGTCTGCTGCATTGACTCGGTTTTAACCTCGACTAAATCAAAATTTTTCAGGCAGCCTCATTCAAAAGTACCGGACGGTAGGTACCGTAAAAGTAACTACAAAGGAGGACAGACCTCAGTCCTCAGAGGAGATCGAGTCACAGCCACTAGAACTGAAACAAGAAGGCGAGAAGTTACTGGAATGTCTCAATGAACTTGCAGCCTTCAAGGTATGGTTAGTTTGGGTCATTGAGTGCCATCAAAACAATCTTTAACATTTATTTTCATACAAGGAAAAAAATATTTATTCTCATACAATGTAAAAAGACCACTTCCCGACAATATCTAGAAAATCGGGACCAGATTGGAAACACGTAAAAAAATCTTGAAAGCCCTTACCTCGCTGAACACGACAGTGCCACTGACATCTGTAAAATCGGATGAAGCGTTTGCCCCAGTAATGAGCCAATCCACTGATACACGTCCATTTGGTCGAGTCCTGTTTACCAACAAGGACACTCGCCTTCCTTCCATGGCCACAACCGATCTAGAATGTTCATCGAATCCCACTTGTCCTGCAACACCATCGTTTGCTTGTATAATGATAGTCACATTGTTCCCCAGGCCAGGAGCCACTCTGGCACCTCCAGTGGGATTCACAAGCTTGATAACAAATTCTTCGTCAGTCTCCGGAATATCATCATCTTTGATGGTCAACAGATAGTTCTGGCTGGTGTTATCTTTGTCAGCAAAAGTAAATATGGGTTGATTTGCTATAAAATCACTGCCGGCCGTCGCATCATTCTGCTGCACTTCAACTTTGACAGTAACCTGGCCGATGGTGCCTGAAGATAAAAAAAATGTGTGTCACACACGAAAAAAAACCTGAAATTAAATTACCGCCTTTCCTGACAAAAGCACTCCTCCTGTGTGTCCTGTGCCCTCTCCCCTCGAATAAACACCTCCGCCCCTTTCCCGTTTCCAAGAAAGGGTACTGAGAAAACAAGGAAAGCAAAGTACTGTTCGTGTTCCATCAATCGCAAAAGGGTCTCACGATTGTAGAATCTGACCAACAAATGGCTTAAATCAAACATTTGGGCAAAAAAAACGACAACAAAAACAACAACAATATTGAAGGAAGGGCCCATTATTACCTTTGAGCCTTTCAATCACCAAACGAATCGGTAAGTTTTCAGTTTCGTTCACTGTCAAGCGGCTACCTTCAGTTCCCTGGTCTGAAGTGGGAGCTTTAATGACTATTAAACCATGAGCGTCGTCACTCATCACGATTGTTACTGCAACTCTCTTGATTCCGCCCAGTTGGGGTGGAAGGACTGGGGACGGTTGCCCAACTAATTCCACGTGCTCTAACACCACGTCAAAAATTTCTCCTAGCTCGGGTTGGATGTCATCAGGGATTGTGATGTTGATATTTGCCGAGTCATTTCCACTGGGGATTACGATAGAACTGTTTGTGACGGCAATGTAGTCAACATTTGGCCTGGCTTGAGTGCCTCCGACGTGTTCTACGGTACTGTTAAAATAAAAACGATAAATTATCATCGTCAAGGACACTAAAGATTCTCAAAAGAAAAATTGATCGTTACTGAAACTCTCGTCCATGTGGAAGGCAGCAGTAGGTGGGAAGCTTGTTAGATAATGAACCTAATTTGTGGCCCTAGCTCGCTAGGCTGCTTGCAACACTAGGATTCAAATCTACAGCGAAGATTCAGATTTTTTTGTTGGGTCTATGCTCCTGACCAATGTCTGATAAAATGATAAGTTAACGGTAGATTTATTTTCACCCTGTGGCAGCTAAAGAGAGAATTATGCATCGGAGTTTGGATAGTTACGTCGCTTTGGTAGTAATTATGACAAAACTGTAATATTCCAATACAAACCTGTAGAAAACTCGGATGTCACCGCTAGTACCAAATTGTCTCAAGACCAACAGGAACGCACTGCTACCCTCTGAAGCATTATGCGAAGATTTAGCAAACTCTACCACCCCGTGGGGAGCATCATTAGGCTCTATGTGAACTTTGGCAACGCGAGTAGCTTCGTCCAGTGAGGGGGTCCCCTCAGACAAAAAATCCACTGACGTCAAGTTGACATCAATAACCTAGAGTAACCAAAACAATGCACATGTTGCTTTTTTCCATGCACTGCATTAAAACTAAACAACAGTTTTTCAACCAGCCTTTTATTTTTTTAATTAACACTATGCAGGTAATAACCATTACGAGAAATACCTGTACAACAAAATCATTAAATACAATCCGTGCTTTGAAATCCTAAGCAATTCACTAACATGGCACAAATTATATTTAACAACTTCTCCCTTTTAAAGATAATACAGATTGTGATACAATAACGATGGTTTTCCAAGACATTCAAAACTTCGAACCATCCTGGGGATTTTACAACATTACCTTTCTTTACATCACTTGTCCTAATGTTTGGTTAATTCTATCTGTAGTTATAAATCCTCTTATTATCCTAAATTATTGTTTACGTAAGCATTCCTATTAAACGCTTGGGATGATAACTGTATTTGAAAAACGCCAATTAAAACCTGTCGTTTAAAATATGAACTTGCAGATAAAGCATTTATTTTTAGCTATTGATTTTGTTTATCAACCAAAGCTTACTTCGACTTATCTCAAACAGTTAGAAGTTCTCTAAACTTTTTTTAAGCACTGTATATTTATTTCAATAATTACCATGAATGATTATTATTCCAATTCTGCCTTTTAACATGACGTTCAGTAACATTAAGTTTTAATTTATTCCTGTTAAAATGATTTAAATATTACTTAATTTTAAATTTAATTACACTATATTTATCTCAACATGCTTACGGTTACGGAACCGTTGTCCGAGGGCTTCGGGAAGATGATCAAAACAACATAAAAACAAAACAAATTAAAATCAAATCAAATTAACTGAAAATAAACTGAAAAATCAAATGAAACAACTATTCAGGTAAAATTTTACAAAACACTTGCATAAAATAAACGTCAAAACAGCATAAATGTTTCAGAAGCAAACGCAGAAAGAAAGCAAACTGAAAAAACTGAAAGGCTCAAAGAAAAAAGAAAATGAAAAGATGGAGAGATGAAACGTCTCCTTGGTTGTAGAAGATGCGAGGAAGTTAAGAAATGAGGTCGCTCATTGCTAAAGTTGAGCTCATGGAAATTACAGAGTCAAAGTTAAATTTGAAGGTTGTGTTTTTGAAGGGCATCATTGACCAGTCTATGTGGTCTCAGTCCAACACAAACAGACCACACCGTTATTACAAGGTGATACTGAACAAGCACCATGAACATTTTTCATCTATCTCTCTGGCCAATTGTATGTGGTTTATAAAAGTAATTCTTATTACGATTCTAGTTTTCGCCTTGTACTGACCGTTAATCACCAAGAGTCAATTTAAAGATACAAGGGCGGAGTATTCGCCTGCCTAGTTATTGCTTTCGATTTAGATGTTATCAGTTAAACTGTCTTCGATCTAAGTTTAAGTTTAAGTAAAATGAATCACAAGTAAGTTTAACGAAAGACGACGCTGCAAATGAAACAGTTTAAAGCCCTAACCGTTTCTTATTACTTAACAGCAAGGCCTGAGATTGAATAGGTTCCCGCGCATTACATGCCTAGAAACGTCTCCACAACAACATTATTCCTTCATGGAATCCAACCCCATCCCTGATCACATCCCAGATGACTCCTCCTCCGGTCCACATTTTACCAAAAAAAATGTATAAAACTGAACTCAAACCTCTGATATTTCAGGAATGGCATCCGATTTAATATTGAAAGTTATTTCCTTCCTGTTTTCTCCATCGGCAAATACAAGGTCTCCCTCAACAGGCCCAACGTCATCTATTGCCAACACTCCATTCAAAAGCGCCTTCCAGTGAACTCGAGAACCTCCGCGGAGACCAAATGTTCGTATTACCTGAAGCGTTACTGGGTTGGGAGTGTCTCTTTCTTTCACTGACACTGATAATGACGAATTCTCAAAGCCTAAAAAGATGGAAATTAAATAGTTTATGGTAAATGGGTGGAGGATTATGGCTTTGCCGTAGACTTGATTTCCATGTGATAGCACAGATCGGAGTGATCATAAGCTTGAACACAAACTCTACGGACGAATGCCTTTGTTCCGATCGTTTGGGTCGTTAGCGATCATTTGGCCTTAATTCCATAAAAATCGTCACGAAGATTATTCCATTTGGGTTGAACGAGGCGCTCCTATGGAAGCCGGGCTTTAAGAACCTATTGACCAATCACCCCTGTAGGGAAGAGTTTCTGGACAAATCACAAAGGGAAGAAATACAAAACTAAAGTTATTCCGGATTACTTTTGACATAATGTTGAAAATCGCTGAAGATGGAAAACTAAAACCAATTCTGACTTGTTCTACTGCAACTTCTCACGAGCCTTTTGGGACAATTTGATGGGCCGTTGTGATTCCTTTTAATTTGGTTTTGCAGCACTCAATCGAAAACCGCTCGATTATCACTAACCTATCAATCCATAAGGATAGTCATTTTCCAGTATAGTAACTGTACACTCCACAGGCGTGCCCAGCACAGCCCCACCAGCAACACCAGTTAGCTTGATTTGGAACACCTCGTTAAATTCTGGGGTAAGATCGTGAATGATAAACACAGGGACCCCAACCTCTTTCTGGCTTTCTACCAAAGTGATGTTCCTAGTATCAATTCTGTAATCTGAGCCATTAGCAGACAATGCAGCAACTTCAAAGGACACATAAATCTGCAAAGAGGTAAGTAATACACATGTAAGCGACACTTGTCATAATCAAACTTAGGAGAAATGTATGGTAAACATTGTCTGGTGAAAAATGGACATTCAAATCACTTACTGTGCCAAAAGCCCCAGCAGTTCTGGTGATATTCACAACTGATCCCGTGTACGGTTCAGGAACACTGACAGTACTTGATGAGAGTTGAACAATTCCATTGGCATTGTCGTTCTTTTCAATGATAACATGTGCAACCCGTGAGGCACCTATTCGTGGAGAACTGTTTGGTGCTGTTTGACATAAAAATCAATGAAAACGAATAAGAACAATTGATTCTATCGATAGCTACCACAAATTACAAATAGAAGAAAAGTGAATTTTTTACATAAACCTCAAACTAAATATTAACAAGCAAAATCGGGAGAGCAATTGACTACAGTATGGCAAATCAAAAAGGTATAAAATAAAGAAAGATGTTATTCGGCTTGTCAAGAGCGTAGAACAAAGAAAAAACCTAAGTTCGACCCGCGAGGAGTCCAATTCCAGACCTTCAGTCTTTACGCTCCCATTCTTTATTACTGGGCTACAGAGAACTTTACGATGAGTTAGGCCAATACTGGGTTCATATGCGAAACGCTTTTCACAATAATAGGATCAAAAATGTCCAAAGCGTAGTGTAAGTACCAAGAGTGAAAAAGAAGGTGAATTGTGAGCTCAATCATGAAATAAAAAAAGATGGTATGCGAACCAAATAAAATGAAAACTTACCAGGAAACACCGGATGGCCGCCAACCAGCTGCACCTCTGTTAAATTCACCATGACTGTCTCTGCATCTTCAGGGACATTATCATCCAGCACCATTAAACTGACATTTGCATACTTCTGCCCTTCACTGAACATAACAGACCCCATGATGGGCACATAATCCTCATTTTCCACAGCAATTCTAACATTAGGTATGCCATTTCCAATGGTGCTGCTGTAGTTTACCCTGACCACTCCCTGTACCCCTGACAACCTCTGTATCGTTAAGTTCACGGTTGTGTTGGATTCACTGATCGTCAGTTGTGAAGGAGAGAAGACAAACACACCGTAAGGATCGTCGCTGGCAAGTATAGTGACGTTCGACTGTGTTCCATGATCCGCAAGGCGGCCTGCAGACACGTTTCTCAGATGGACAAGGAAGCTCTCTGCAAGCTCAGGATACTGCAAAAAAAACACATATAACTTTAATTCAAGAACTATAACAATGTACAGGTTACCTTGAAAGCCATCCACAAATTTATATCATGCAGACCCTTTCACCCTGCTATGAACAAAAGTACAGCACTTCAGCTTTCACTAACGTTGTATATACCGACGAACCTCCACAAATATTACAACAGACAAAGAAAAGTTAACAATATCAAGAGTTCCAATGACTGAGCCTCTTATATCTGAGACTGGTAAGAACCCCAACAATTGCGATGTCAACAAGCACAATGCAGATTAATATCAACAAGCAATCCCAACTAATACCTGTACCTCTGCTCAATGTTTAACCCAAGCTTAGAACGTTTACAAAAAAACAAAGGCGGGTTAATACAAGCGCCCCGCCGCTCGGAGAATGTCCACAGTTATCGGCAAAAAACAAATGACTTATCGACGAATTAAAAATGAGTAGACAACCGATAAATTCTACCGGAGTCTTATAACAGATAGTGTGACTTCAAAACAAACCAATCAGCTTCCACAAACTTAAGGCATAACGATCGAATGACATTTGAACAACTCTTGTCCAAGCGCGAAAGTGTCTTACAGAAAGAAACCGTATAGGAAACTTTTATACATACAACATCGTCTTTGATCCTAATGGTAATTTGTGTGCTATTGGTGTTCTCAGCGAGCACAACAAAACCGTTTGTGTTTTCTACATCAACGGCACCATCTCCTGAAACCTCCCAGAAGACAGTTGATGGGCCTAATACACCACGTGTCCTCTGAACTGTTAGGCTTACACTGCTCCCGCTGCCCTCACGGACAGAGTGGTTGAGGGAGTCTGGAGAAAAGCTGATGATGCCGAACGCGTCATCACTTGGAAGTATTGTCACGAATGCAATCTTGGCGGATGGATTTAATTCAGCTACGAAAAAAATATTTAAAATAAGTTTACTTTTAACTTCATATCATGTAAATTCATCTGCTAATTTTTATAGCGAAACACTTACCAGCAATCAGTCAGTTCGATTGTGCTGAAAAGAGCATTTTAATAACACTACTTTTTTTGAATGGAAGAGTGGAATTTCAGCAAGGTTAACTGCTTTAATCGACAGACTTTGTAAAAGCGAGCAACAGAACCATCAAACCCCTGGATTTAGGACCATTTTGCTAACGTGGTTTTGCTACACATTGACTACATATGATTTTAGCAGCTGAACGATGAAACAATTTCGTGTCTGTCGCCCATAACATGGGATGGTTGAACGAGGAAACACTCTGAAGCAAATTTTTGGATTAAAATGTTTGATCTAAATTAAGCATGCCTAGCCATTTTGAGAGGGGAGGCTAAACGATCAAACATATTCTTCCAACGTGATATTGGACGAAAATTTTTTATCTTTAATCCAGAAATTGACAATGCTCTTTAGTATGGAACCCACTTGTAGTAAAATTTTGGGGAAAGTGGGGGGACGGGGGCGGGAGCTGTGATAGACTACCATCCCATCCAGGAGGGTAGGGAAAACGTCGCTTCGAAAAACGAGCTCCCTGTATAGGAGTATCACTCAACGCACGTAATAGATATTGAAAAAAAAAATTAACACTTCAAAATCTACCTCCTCCTTCAGCATTGAAGAGCTCCACTCTAAATGTCTTTTGAAGCTCTGAGATATTGTTATCCACAATGCGGATGTCAATTGTGTTATTTCGAGCGCCAGGAGCAAACTCAACAGCGCCTGTGGTATCAATATAATCGTCTGGAGTTTTTGCTGTGTCTGCAATAGTCTTCCACTGACATTTAACACTTCCTGTAGATAAAAAAACACCAGTAAAAAGTGAAAAAAAAAGATATTTATAGAAATATACCGCCGGACATTTATTGATAAAATAACAACATTTACAATAAACTCGAGGATCTATCTAATACCCCTTAATATTAATACTATTATTATTAATATACTTATTAATACTAAGAACAATCATTCAAGGGATAATGAGTTCTAACGCCACTGGAGATGATGATCACATCCATCAATTCGCAAAATTCTTAACGAAGAAGCAAGCTCCAGAAATCGCTTTCCACCTCTTTGGAAGGCAAATATCATCAAGTTAGGAGGAGACTCCCTACGCTGAAACCTCTCATTACCATAATCGTAAACATGAATGTTGATAGTGAAGATGGAACTATATAGTTTCCAAAAGAATCATACTTCTCCAAGGGATTTCATCACGCCTCTAATGATAATCTCTATGCGCTTCCATTGTTAGAAGTCACTTTAAGGCCAACACTTAATCCAAAAAAAAAGAAATACGATCAGATGATTTCATTTATTGCAAGACATTTCCAGACTCACCCAATGTTCCTTGAGCTCTGATCACGTGAAGTGTAAGTGTCCCAACACTTTCCCGAGTGTCGACATTAAATTGGGAAGATGATGGCGGAATAGTCCCATTTGCAAGTGGAACAGCATGCATGAACTGCAGTAATCCATTTGGGTAGTCACTCTTTTGGATAGTGATATCAACTTGTGTAAACCCAGGTCTAAGACTTGCAGCACTCGTTGGAGTGCTTCCGTCGGTTGGGGAAACAGATGTTAAATTGAGAGTGAAATATTCATCTACTTCTGGTAGTCCGTCATCATTTACGGGAATGGTCACAACCTGGTAAGAGCAATGTATGAACAAAACTATTATTAAAAAAAAACATCTAACAAATGGTTCACAACTCGTGTATCGAGTTATGGATGCACGCTGGAAGTTTAGAAAACGCTAGAGAAGAAAAAGAGTTGGTCGAGGCGCGGCCACACTAGTTTCTTGAGTGCTCTCCAAACTTCCCAACATGAGCGATTCCAGATTACTTTCCACATCCAGCCAAAACCGCTCTGACACTTACACTTTTTGCTAATGTTCAACTTGAGGTTGACAAGATATTGCTCTACCTAATACACGTCGAACACCATTCCAGGAATGGACTTTGAACGGCTACAAAGGAGACTGTATTCATACCTTCTCGTTTTCATTCTCGATAAAATTCACATTTCCACTGGCCATAGTGAAATCATCTGAAGCTAATACAGATGATGAATTCTTGAATACACTCCAAGTGACAGTGGCTGCTCCATACTGACCCTTGCGACGTTCAATAGTCACAGTAACATTAGTAGACTCACTGATTACTATTGGACTGACTGACTTGAAACCGAACAAACCATTGGCATTGTCACTCTTAAGTACTGAAAAGAAAACAAAAGAGAGCACGTAAATCAAGTGGCGTATATTTTTTATTTCTTAGTGTTTTCGTGTTGTTCCATCTGACGCTTTAGGCGCTGCTTTTTTGCATTGGCTGGACTCGAGGTTGATCGAATAGAGTTACATATATCCTATCTTGGATGAACAGACCGGAGTATATCTCTACTCTAATTGGAATTTAGAAGCGATTCCTCTGCAAAAAATTCCCTCTTTATGTACGAAATTTGAAAATAGTGAATTTTGCTGTGGGGAATGTCCGAAGTTTGCAAACTGTGATGAAAATAAAAGCGTTCAAGGAATGAATTTCACTTTCATAGAGAATCAAAGAGCTTTTGAAGGACAATTAAGTAATCTGGTTTAGGAGCTGATAGAAATAACCAGTTTTCAGCAATAGCACAGCAATACTTAGGGCTTCTTGCATTAACAAATGTGTAATATATATTTATTTAACCTTTAAGATCCATCCAAAACTCATTAGTGTCCAGTCGCGCCCCGCCAAGAGGACTGTACAGCACCACATTATAAGGCGTGTCGTCTTCTGGTTTGTCATCATCAATAGTGCTTAACGTTAACGTCCTTCGTGTTACTCCAGGCTCAAAGGTTAAATAGCCATTTATTGGCGTGAGTTCGTTGTTAGAAATGGACATTTCTTTGACCGACCTGAACAGGAAAAACAAAACTTAGCGATCTTCTGGTATTATAATACACAACAGTGCCATAATGAGGTTCGTGGTGGAGAAAGTAAGGCATGAGAGATCACAGAACACGGATCTCAGATGTCACTTCACAATCAGAAATAAGCATGTAACAGACTACTTAACCCTAGAAGTAGACTAGGAAACTTGGCAGATACGAGCAAAGAGTGTTTGAAGAATCAAAACCAACTGAGATAGAGCCATTGAAAACGAGATAGAGCCGTCAATAGTGCAATAATGCAAGCTCAATTCCTATAACGAGGCCAATCTTTTAAGCTGCTGACTTTTATGCTGTAATTTCATCGATCTTTCATTGAAAATTGTACAGAGTGAACACCAAGAATCACGTTGAAATTGACAGTGAGATCATTTCATTAATTTAAGTTCATCACGTCTTACAGAAAAAGAAGATTCCCCTGAGCAACCCTTGTACCTTGCCACTATCACTTCTCGATACTCTGTTATGTCTTGGATGCATCCTGTAAACTGTGATTCTGAGGTAGGTCCTTTTCCTACTCGGTAAACGGCAGCAGAGCTTAATGATCCTGATGGGAGCGGACTGAAACAATTTTAAGAACAATAATTAGCACAAATATAACAATAATACGCCTAAGTAAGAATTAACGTAGCCTATTAGAATCCGCGCGTACTTAAATTGAGAAACATTATTAACAAAAAAGCCTAGAGGTGTGTCACATTCAGAATTTTGTAAAAATAAATTCCATAAACATATGCACATGACCACAACACTTCATTTCAGATCCTTACTATGCATTGCCGACTGGATCTCCATCGACATAAAACTGAACAACATTTACATCCACAGTAAAAACCACAAAATGCCAGCTGTTGTCTGCAATGTCCTTGCCAAGATTTACCTCAGTCTAAAATAAAAATGGAGATATAAGATTCCAATGTCTAATAAAATCTACCAGGGACGTTTTCCATTCTCCAAAGTAAGTTAAATTAAATGTCACAAACAGAACACTTCCCCCATAAAAATTCCCGAGCAAAATTACATTTCGTTTATTCGGTCCAATTTCTAACAGTTCAGTTCACGCTATCTCAGTTACTTCGTTTTTTCTTTTAACTCTTTTTTTCACACGCAAACTGGCTCCTGCTGGGTCACGAATCTAACAACAACAAGGAAAATCAAAGTGTATCTTCTCGTAAACGGCATTCATAGATATATAAATTCATTATGGCGTAACTATCCCATAACAAGAGCATAATCTCCTAAAAGTTGACACATTTATTAGCTTCTTTGTACCTTGTTTGACAAATAGAAAAAGTCTGCTATTGTAGTAGGTCCAGTCGTATTCAAAACCAAAGCAAAGTTCACGGCATTTCCATCCAGACTGGCCAGCACATATCCATACATTCCTTTAGTAGCATTCACCCAGAATCTGAAAAAGGGGAGACATTATAACAGGATTAGGCACTAATTCAGGGATCAAGTGGGCCTTGCTTACAAATTACACTATGAGAGACGACAAATTCTCTCGCAAAGGGTGCGATCATCAACTAATCTTACCTTAGTATTAAAAAAAACAATATGAATAATTCTCACCTTACACTAAACTTTGATTGTGGACTGGTCGAATCAGACAATTCAACAAATGATTCTGTGATTACAAAACCAGCAAAGATTAGTTAATAAATACTTGAAGGTGAGAAAGGAATTTTCATTCTCACGTTGTACAAACTTTGAGAAGTTTACCTGGGTTTATTTTCAATTAAGAAGTTTCAGGATTTCCAACCAATCTGGAATACAACTTCCTTTTCACGAAAGGAGATTTCACCAAGTGCACTTCATTAACTTAATTGAATTTACTCGAAAGAGGTCACATGAATTTTGCAAATAAATTTGCATGAAGATAATTACAGATGCAATGATGCTAATGAATATGAAACCGCAAGAAAGTTGACATTCTTCGCACTTTAATTCCAAATAAGAGGCTTTTCGATTACTTGTCGTAAAACGAAAACCAAAGTAAAATAGAAACGAACACAGTAAAATGTAAGTACATTTTAAAGCAAGTCAACTGCTTGAAGCGCGGGAAAACGTGAGTGACAAAGATACGGTCGGTGTTAGTTTTGCATCTGATTGGTTGAGAGGCAGGCACGAGTTTTCTGAACCAATCCTTTCGACGCTCAATATAAAATTACTCTGCCTGATTCGCAAATCTCTTTTTCTTCCAAACCATTCCTTAGTAGTCAGTAAAGATCCGAACATGATTTTTTTTAATCAAGATCTGAAAAGCATGTTTACTCTCATCACTTGTTTGATGCATAAATGTAATGTATCGTATGAGAAGTTGGACGTTCACTACTACTGTGGGTTAATGGACTGACTCATAGCCTTACCATTGTTAGTTCCATTAAAGCAATACACGTAGGTCTCTGTATTTAATCTGCGCAGATCAGGCCGGCTGTCAACACCTGACATCCTTGAGCCCAGTAGAAACAAATCATAAGCATTATCGTTGATGCTAGCCAATGACGCCGAAGCTGTTTGAATTTCCCAAGCAACCTGCAATTGAAAGTAAAAGCGCATTCAACACACAGAATTACCTAAGTGCTCTCGAACCAACATGCGGTACACCAACACGCGGTACACAACCACGATTACATTGTCGCACGAACATCATGTTGAGATCAGCGGCTTGATTCTGCACAGAAGACTCGGATTTTCCGTCTGTCCCACATTCATGAAACATGGCACTTCCTGCGTGGGAATTCAACCACATGTGTCGGTGCCAATGGGTGTAGGCTTAAAGCACAGCTTCTAGTATTTTAAGCCAAATGCTTGAGATCTTTTGTAGAGGTTACATTATCATTACCCAATACAGGTAAGAGTCAACAGACATTCTAGAAATTTCCAACCACGTTCAAAAGCGTTCTTTCAACAATAAATCAGAGTTAGAAGGATCGCGTATAGAGAATTTTCTCTTTTCGTGTCGACTCGAACTTATTTAAGGTACATATAAGTCACTGCCTCTGAGCATGCTCATGATGTAAATTCAATCCTCTGAATATTCTCTAAGTTTCCCACATGTGTCGCAAATCTTACCTGAATGCTTCCCCATGATCCTTGATCTCTCAAAACTGTCACATTTTTTGTGGTGGTAGCTTTCATTCCAGGGTTATAGTCTTCTGGAATTTCCACAGACCTTTTCTCAAACCTCATCAATCCATTGGGGTCATCGTTGGCAGTAACCGTCAGGGATGCTTTCGATGGACTGCTTATAACACCGTTCTCACCAGTTTGAATCCCTAAAGAGAAGTCAAAGTTGAAGCTTGCCGCTACAGAATGTAAACACATCGAACTACTTGTAGACTTTTAAGAGAAATGAAAGTTTGTTTTCAGTTGCCGTTTCCAAGTCGCCCTAGTCATAAAATCTCAAACTTCCTATTGTCAGTAAAAGCCACGGACCTTTCGAAATTTTGAATGAAGATCAACATCAGAGTCGCGCGGATAGTTGATAGTCAGTTGAGTATCATGAGTTAGTTTCATGGGTAGTTATTTGTTTGCCGATAGACGCAAGTAACCTTAATCAATTGTAACTTGCCATTTTCGGCCTAAGCGTATTAATGTGCATGATTTCTCTAAGTTAGCTGGCCACGAACAAACGAGTTGTACCTTAAGACATTATACATGACTAAAAAATACCGTAGTTGAGATAAATACAAAGGTTTTAAGTTCAGATAAGGTTTCAAGTAATTTCCTCTTTTCGAAGCACTCAGTTTGACCAAATCACCATGATTATAAAATATCTAATATCCTATTGGACAAAGAAAATTATCTATAAATAAGAATCCGGGACAAAAATCTTCCGAAAGATAGATAAACACCTGTTGCATTGACGAGCTGAAGCTCAAAAGTTTCAGATAATTCAGCAATTCCGTCTTGGAGTGGTGTCAGTCTAACAGACTGTGATGATTGACGATTAACAAATGTAACAAAGTCAACGACATCAGTAAACTCTTGGCCAGACGACAGATCCATAGTGGTTCCATTGGAATATAGGCGAACTACTTTCCAGTACACTCTGACCTCACCAAACTGGGCAAGCTCTCTTTCGACACTAAAGGGTAAAAATCAATATGGCATAGAAGTTATTTAGTCATGAAAATTTCCCCCCTGATCTTAATTTTCAGAAAGTCTTTGACGGTCCATAACTGTCAGCCAAAGTTTCAAACGCAATAATTGTATCTTCAGGGAAAGCTGTATCACTCTATACATTTTCATAAAGGACATGGTAGATCTCCAAACAAGTTTACTAAAAATTAAACAAGTATCCTGAATGTAAGAAGCAGTGTTCTAATTAGTTAGTAAATTAAATAAACGATACACATCAGGAATCTTGTTCTATCCGTTAGACAAAATCACCTTCCCAAAATCACTGCGACTTGTTTCCTTTCTCAGCCAAATGCAAGTACAATGTAAATGGCACAATTTGTACACAAATCACCATAAAGTGAAAAACCTCGGATTTTAATAACAATAAGAAAAAGAACACATAACTCTCAGCTAGCTATTGAGCAGCAAGGAGTGTCTCTTACTTGAATTCAACCGCTGCATTCTCTTGTGTTGTCTTGTTCAGTGAATTGGAAGCAAACTTGAAAACGCCAGACCCCTTGTCACTCGCCAAAATAGTCACAGTGGCAATAGGTTTGTTATAAAGCACTGTGTCCCCTGTTGAGTTTAAAAGACTGACTGTGAACGTCTCCACCCCCTCTGGGGTGCTGTCGTTCAACACCATAATCGATATGGTCTTTTGGAACTCTCCAACATCGAACGTCACTTTCGCTGTCTTGGGTTGGTAATCACCAGAAGTAGAGGTCGCAGTTCCATCCACCGTTTGATAGAAAACGTCAACAGTAT